CAATTTATTTTAGAAAATGCTAATTTTAAAAAATAATAAAAGTATAAGAGAAATATAAATATAGTTAAATAATACTTTTAACTTAATTTTTTAAGTAATATAAATTGTTTCTAGTTGGGTCAAGTTTCAACTTGTTCTTTGTGTACAATATATATATAATATCATAGTTCTTAAAATAAATATCTTTTTATTTTCCACATCAAGCAATTTGTATCCCTTAACAAGGAATGGGCAACCTAGAAAAACACATGGGATTGAATTTATGCCTGTTGTTGTTTAAGGTGGATGGAAATGTTAAATATACAAAAACTTTGAGATATGTGTAACTTAGTTTCATCCTAAATAGAAGTTCAAATGAGATTTTATGCTTAATCATAAATGAGAATATTCTATTACTCGAATACACTATTGACAAGATAACATTACTCTGATATTTTAGACCGATGTCACTTTAGAATTTTAGTGTCCGAGTAGTGTTCACAATCTGTTGATATTTTCTTTATGCTCTCCCATTTTGCTCAAGTACTTTTATACAACTTGTGAATGAGTCTCTTTTTCAGGTAAAAATCGTTTATTTCAAATTCTCTCTCATTATCACTAATTTTGATTTTGGCTCCGAATTATGTTTCTATGAGGGTATAAAAGTTATATAAGGTAAAGAAGCGTTCATTCGAACTTCAGTAGATAAATCCAAGTATATCAGCTAAAATCATCTATAATAGAAAAAAAAATATCGATAGCCATCATAGGATACTTTATTGCATAATTCACAAATATCAAAATGTATAAGATCAAAACAATGCTTAGATTTATCTTAACAAATTGGAAACAAAAATATATGAACTTTGGCAAGATGACAAACATAACAAAGTTTATGTCTAGTATCTTTAGAGTCATGTCTTAAAAAGTTTGACCTAAACATCCTAAACAGTAATACCAGAGGTCAAATCCACCATCATGATTGAATTCAAGGTTATCAGTCGCAGATAAAGCTTGCCAACATCCTGTATATTGGATTTTGTGTTACTATAACTGAAAGAGATAATAATTCACTTTACTAACTCGAAATTCTCTAAATTAAGAGTTCTTTTATTACATAAAGTTGTGGTAAAAAAAAAAAACAAAGCAATATCTTGCATCCTTAGCCAAATTCCCAGCTGATATGAGACTGAAATTAAAACATGAGACATATAAAATGTTATAAAGAACTAATATATCAAATCTCTTCATAGTCACAATATAAGAAATATTAACTATATCACAATTTGGTAAAAAAGCTATGGAGGAAATATCGACTATATTTCTCGTGTACAGACATGAGGAAGATACAATGTGATTTGAGGTACTAGTGTCGATAATCTAAGGAATTATGGGATGATTTTTTTATTGTATTAAATGATCTGAGAGGCAGGGAGGTATACCAAAAAATTTAGACATATTAATAACTTGGGGGGAAGCAGAAGATGATTCTACTAAGTATGTTGAAATTGGTTCTGCATTAACATGATGAGCTATTATATTGCTCTTATGTATTAACTAGTTAATTTTTAGTATTATTTTATCGATGTAAAGAATATGATGATACTTGATTGATACTAGACAACTTAACTCTTCCAAAGATTTTATACCATTTTGGATATCCATATAACTTATAATAAGTTTTGTGTCTAAGCATGTTGCAATGATAATAGTTTAACTTGTCTGGGTTGACTTTAAACATCGCTCAGCCGAGTGACTTACCACTTTACAATGTGAACAATGATATTTTTATCGACTTGTACTAGATCCTCTAATATTTATGTTCAAATCCCTAACATTGATGGCTAAAACTCTATTAGCTTAACTATCCAATAAAATTTTTTACATTTTTTTTCTTGTTGGATAATAGAATATGTTTCATTCAAATTAGGGAAGATTCTTACCAATAGTATCTATGATTTGATACTCTTATATGACTTACTTAAATCCACAAAAAATTTTATTATCTAGTTTCTTTATTGATACTCGATTACAACTCTTAATCCTCCACACAGTTTGGAATATATTTATAACTAAGTAGTTTTAAGTTTCGAGAAGTATATACTTATAATACCTTAATTATGTA